AGACCCCTGTAGGGCCCCCTGTAGGGCCCCCTGTAGAGCCCCCTGTAGGGCCCCCTGTAGGGCCCCCTGTAGGGCCCCCTGTAGGGCCCCCTGTAGATCCCCCTTGTCACCCTTGTTTCCCCCTTTCTTCGAAGAGGTTGTGAGGCAGAAAAGCTAAAAGAAAGAGCAGGTGAGTAAATGTTTTTTTTTTCTATTCATTTTGTTACATTTTATTCCCATATGTGTACCAAAGAGTAAAAAAAAAAAAAAAAAAAAAAAAAAACACGTAGGTAGATAATTCTATTTCTGTTTATCATCTTTACCCATATGTATACAAAGGAGCCCCCCCCAAAAAAAAAAGTAGGTACATGAGTTTATTTTTGTTTCTTATTTTTCTTCCCAACAAACCAGAAAAAAACACGTGGAAGTTAAGCTTATTTTGGTCTATTCTATTCATTTTTTTAAATTCCAGATGTGTACCAACATACACATTTAGAAATGTATATTATGACGTTTTTTACGTTTACGTACGTTTTTTACAATTATGTAGTGCATATACTGTGCTCTCTCGCTTTCTCTTCTTTCTCTTTTTTTCTCTCTCCCTTTTCTGGCTCTGTTTATGTCTCTGTTTTTTACACTCTCTCTCCTATAACCCCCTTCTCGTTCTCTTTCTCTTTCTTCTCTCCCTCTCCCCTCTTCTTCCCTCCCCTCTCTCCTTCACTCCATCCTTCCTCTCTCTATCTCTGTCTCTCTGTCTCTTTCTCTCTTCTACCCCCTCTTCCTCTCTCTCTTCTATCCCTCCCGTCTCTCTCTCTCTCTCTCTCTCTCTCTCTCTCTCTCTCTCTCGTAGCTTCATATCTTAGACAGAAATCCGAACTTATCGCACTTTCTTCCTCCACAGAATAGATCATATGCATCACTGAAAGAGTGAGATTACAGGCCGGTCCCACACTAAACCCGCCTTGCTGTCTTCTTTACCGTCTTGGAAGGCGAATGTCATTTAATCTCTGAGTGTAGACCTGTGTCATCTGCATGAGCATGATCTATAAAATCCTATCAGATCCATTATTTTGTTTCATTCCTTATGCTTACCTGAAAGAGAAATATGTGTCACTGTTGATTGGTAAAGTCCTAAGAAGTTGTGTGTGTGTGTGTGGGTGTATATATACATCCCCCCTACATATACATATATTCATTTACATTCATATTCATATATACGTACATGTACACATACACATATGTATGTATGTCTGTATGTATGTACATATATACATATGTATATACATATATATATATATATATATATATATATATATATATATATATGTGTGTGTGTGTGTGTGTGTGTGTGTGTGTGTGTGTGTGTGGTGTGTGCGTGTGCGGACGTGTTATATATATATGCATATATATATATATATATATATATATATATATATATATATATATATATATATATATATATATATATATATATATATATATATATATACATATATATATATACATATAAATATATGTGTATGTGTGTAAATATATATATATATATATATATATATATATATATATATATATATATATATATGTGTGTGTGTGTGTGTGTGTGTGTGTGTGTGTGTGCGTGTGCGGACGTGTGTATATATATATATGCATTATATATAATATATATATGCATATATATATACATAATATATGTGTGTGTATGTGTGTAATTATATATATATATATATATATATATATATATATATATGTATGTATATATATACATGTATATATGCACACACACACACATATACACATGCTATATACATATGCATACAGTCAGCAAAATTGATGTGTCAAAATCAGAAATACTTCATGAACATGAATGAATAAATAAAGGGATATAGAGGACACAAACAACTGATAAGAATTAACCATGTTTTTTTTTCTCTCTTCTGTCTTACTCTAATCATCCGATGCAAGATTTTCGAACTTATTTCTTTTTTTTGAAACCCCCCCTCTCCCCCTCCCTCAGTTGGACCTGAAAGACTGAAAACCGCAACTTTTAATTCCCTTAAAAAAAAAAAAAAAAAAATCCTGGAAAGCTACCTTAATGGCATGTTTTCGGTTCAGATTAAACATCCGAGTGAACAATCAAATAGCGATGGCCCCCTTAACCTACAGGGGATTCTCGGTACTGCCCCTTCTCATTAGTATTTATGTTATTCATTGCTCTGTAATTCACTCTGAATAAACAGCATTAATAAACAAGGAGTGACTCAAGAGATATATTATATCTTCCTTCTCAATGTACTCTCCGCTAAGAAAAATGAAAAAAACGTCCTTCTGGTTTCTGGTGAGGGAGTAAATATGTCGCAAAGAGTTATGTATAGGATGCTCTAATGCTAAGTAAATGTTTGGTCTCCGGGCATCCTTTTGGGCGAAGATAGAGCTCGGAGACAGAGTGGGAGAGTGGGAGAAGTTCCTCTCTTCTCGGCGTGCTTCGTCTTCCTCATCTTTGTCTGTTCCGTTTTCGTTATTTCGTCTCTCTTCTCTTTTCTTTTTGTCTTTTATGGTATCGAATGCACAGGCGAACTAGGATGAACACACACACAAACATTCAAACACAACCCATTCACACAAACAAAACACACAACACACAAATCACACTAACCACCCACTACACAACCACACATAAAACCCAACCACCCCACCCACACACTACCACCACCCACCAACACTCACAAGCACACACACACCCACACCCACCCACCACAAACCCACACACATACATAAACATCCAACCACACTACTCACCCACCCACACACACACACCACATATAAGCATCCATCCCACACAACCGCCAGGCATTCTCTCTCCTCTCAAAATCACAAAGATAAGGCAATTTCCCGCGACTCAATTTACCCAAATGACTCCCTACAATCTCCCCCCTCCCCCCCCCAAAAAAAAGATGTTTGTATAAAGCCAGCGCAACTTTTCTCCGGGTCTGACTCTTAACAAAGGCTGCGAGATTAGGTCCAAGAAACATGTTTGGAACGTGAATAATTCAGAAGGTCTAATGCTGAATATTGGATCGACTGTTCTCTCTCTCTCTCTCTCTCTTTTCTTAAGGGGGAAGGGGGGGGGGCTGAAAACGGAGATTGTAACTGATTGTAAACTTTTGTTCGATTTTGTTATTATGTGGGTTAATCATTGGTATAGGTTCGTGTGCATGTCATTTTTTTGGGATGAAATTCCAAAGGTACACAGAAGCGCCTTGCCGCGGCTGTGCGAACCGCGTAAGGAGGCAGCCGACCACATACGAGGAAAAATTGTGTAGGTCTGTTTTAATAGCTTCGTCCCCTGCATGCGCGCTTGCTTGCTTGTTGCGTGCGAGAGCGGACGGGATGAGCTATCATGTGTTTAGAAATGTGAATGTCATTTTTTTGTATTATGCTACGTATCTACGTGGACTCTACACTTCCGGGATTTCTTCTTCATTGAGATAAATTAATTAGTTATTCAAGAGAAGAGGAGAGAGAGAGAGAGAGAGAGAGAGAGAGAGAGAGAGAGAGAGAGAGAGAAGAGAGAGAGAGAGAGAGAGAGAGAAGAGAAGAGAGGGGGGAGGGAGAGAGTAGATAGATAGATAAATAGATAGATAGATTGATAGATACAGAGAGATTTGCTTTGATTTGATAAAAATCTATCTACAGAACAGTGTACATGTCCAAGAAAAAGTCAGGATAAGATGCTATAAAATCCATCCAAACTGCCTATGCTTTTATTTATGTAGAGAACTGTCAATCAAACAATAGTTCTACATTCTTGAAGGGCTGTGTTATTATGTTTAAATCATTCACATATCATCTGGTTGGCAAAAAAAAGAAAAAAAGAAAAAAAAAACATTTATTATATCAAAGACCATCCAAGATGAAATCGATATAACCAATAAGTGCTGGTCTCTGGACAGTGCTACTTGAGCGACAGAATGCAATTTTCGACCAAGAAAGTAAACAATATGTAAGTTTATGCAACTTGGGCGCCTTGCACTTTATACGGTTTATATGTGTGTGTATAAATGCATATATATATATATATTTATAATATATATATATATATATATATATATATATATATATATATATATATAC